CCCCAAATGAACCAGAAAAGGCAAGAGAAGCCTGAATTTTTTTTTGTTTGTTTTGTTTTGTTTTGTTTTGAGACAGAGTCTCACTCTTTTGCCTGGGGTAGAGTGAGTGCCATGGCGTCAGCCTAGCTCACAGCAACCTCAGACTCCTGGGCTCAAGCAATCCTTCTGCCTCAGCCTCCCGCGTAGCTGGGACTACAGGCATGTGCCACCATGCCCGGCTAATTTTTTCTATATATTTTTAGTTGTCCGATTAATTTCCTTGTATTTTTAGTAGAGACAGGGTCTCGCTCTTGCTCAGGCTGGTTTCGAACTCCTGAGCTCAAACAATCCGCCCGCCTCGGCCTCCCAGAGTGCTAGGATTACAGGTATGAGCCACCGCGCGGCCGAGAAGCCTTAATTTTTAAAAAGTTGAAGTTTTTTCTAACCTCTCAGAAATATTTACATTTCTTTCTTTCTTTTTTTTCTTTTCTTTTTTTTTTTGCTTTTAGAGACAGGGTCTCACTCTGCTGCCCAGGCTGGAGTGCCGTGGTGTCATCCTAGCTCACAGCAACCTCAAACTCCTGGGCTCAAGTGATCTCCCCCCATCAACCTCCCCAGTAGCTGGGACTACAGGTGTCAGCCGCCAAGCCTGGCTAATTTTTTAATTTTTTTGTAGAGATGGGGCCTTGCTGTGTTGCCCAGGCTGGTCTCAAACTCCTGGCTTCAAGCAATCTCTCACCTCAGCCTGCAAAGTGCTGGGATTATGGGTGTGAACCACTGTGCCCAGCCTAGAAATATTCACATTTCTTTTATTTAGTATCCATTTACTTACTAATCACGGTAAAAATAACTACAGGTATGACCCAGAATTCTAACTCTAAGGTAAACGGTCCTGCTTGGCATGTGGCATGAGGGGAATCTGCTGTGTCTTTGTCACCCCTGTGTCTTTCTACTCCAGCTTAGCACAGTGAAACAAGCTCAGGGGTTTAGAGCAAGACCGGACTCAGAAATCACTCCAGCCCTTTTTACTGAGAAGACTCAAAGAGTTAGTAGGTTTTGCTCAAGGCCACACAAGTAAATATGACAGGGCCAGGGCCTTCATTTAAATACCTTTTAGACTCCATATCACCTGGTTCAAATTCCAGCTCTAACACTTACTAGCAGTGTGACATAGGGACCGTCACTTAACTTTTCTGCACATTACCTATAAAATGGGGGTGACACTACAAGGATCAGCAAACTATATCTGCAAAGCCCCTGGAACAGTGCTGGCGCACAGCAAGTGCTTAAGAAGAGGGTTAGCTACCACCACCATCATCATTATTACATCTCTACAAACTAGATTTCCATATACAGTTTTAGAATCAGCTGAATTTCTCATGATTTAAGATGTTTAAGTATGTTAGAGGACTTAGAAAAGATGTGTTTTAAGTGTTATGTGATTTTCAGGACAGTATCAAAATGTGACCTTGGATCAGTCCCTCCATCAAAATGAGCTTTCTATGTTTGACGAAAGGAGCCAATCATACTTGTGCTATCTGCCTCACACAGTTAAAGGAATGAGTATATGAAATGTGTCCAGAAAGTTAAAAAAGAAAGAAAGAAAGGGAAGAGATAAGCTTCTGTGATGTCTTTTTTTTCTGCTCTCATAGAAAATGACAGCCTCAAGTCTTACTGTAATACAAAATCATGAAGATCACAGATGCTCAGTGATTTACAGCACTTAATTAATGTAATCTTCCCCCAAGCCTTATTGTGGAAATCCCACAGAGAAAGGATGGACACCCACCCAAAATCTGGTTTGGATGTCTAGACTGAAAATCACACATTCACACACACCTCTAAGAAGGTATGAAAAGATTTACTGTTGACATCATGAGGCTTTCTGGGGAGAGCAGGCAGTTCCCAAATGGGTTCAAATGGCTTGAGGGTGGGGATGGGGCCTGTGGGGGGAGGGGCCAGCGCAGCACAATAGGGGTTTGCATGGTTTGAACCTCCCATCGGGGAGCACCTGGGCTTTTTTACAAGTTTGCCTAGATAGGGAGGAAAAGGGAAAGAGGGAGAGGTGAGGCTTAAAAGCTTTCAGCAGTCAAACATCAAAAAATGGGGTCGGTCTCTTCATGGCAACCTCTGTGAGGTAGATTCCATCCTTGAAAATGAGGAAACTGAGACCCAATCAGTTTAGATCACCTGTCGCAGCAGGTTTAACTGGAGCACCTTCAAACCCACATGACCTACAATTCCCAGATCCTGTGAGTTCCTGTCACTCAGAAGAAGCACTGCGTGGACCCCACCAGTTTACCTAATGGCAACCAACCAATGACAGAAAAGCTAAAAACAGCCTTAATCCATTTTTATCCCAATTGGTAGTTGATGCTTTTCTTAAATTTCTCTACATACAAAAAAAAAAAAAGGAAACTTCAGGGTTAGGTTCTAATGTTACCATTGCTAACATTATTGTCGTTATAGGGAGAAGGATGACACTCTTTGTATAAAAGATCCTCTTCGCATGCAGGTAAAATTCCATTTCCAATTTATCCAGTGAACACGAGGTTCTATTTCAGCAACCACACAGTCTGCAATGGCTGACATCCATTTCCCTTATCTGTAATTGGGTATGTGTAGTGTTTTCTCTCTCTCTCTCTCTCCTAACTTCTCTATTGAGATTATCTTTTATGGTCATGTGTTTTGTTTTATTTTCTGTCCCCATAAAAAATGAGAGTCTCGAGTCTTACTACAAAATCATGAAAGATTAAATTAAAATCATCAGGAATCAATTTTTTATGGGTTATAAGGCTCTGAATCATCTCAGTAAGTTCTTGTGGGTAACCAAGTCCTATCGGGTTCCAAATCTGCTAGTCTTTCCTATTAGAATTACAGTTGCTTCGGCTCTCTCTTTAACTCAGAACTCAGAGCATCTGGTATTGGTTTTCCTCAGGTGGGCAGAGTTCACGCAGCTAAGCCTGCCTCAAATGAGAGCTATACAGGAAACCCAAATCTGTTTTGAGCCAGTTGGTTCTGCAATATTTATGTATTAGTTCATGACTCTTCTGAATGAATTAAATTGTATATCAAATCACTACTCAGGACTAATCACAATATTTATGCCTCTCTGTAAGTCATCTTTAGGGAGCACTAAAGAGCTGTCTCTCTTTCCTGAAGCTTTCTTATATCTATTTTTAGAGTCACCAAAAAAAATCTCCAAGTTGTGTTAAATTCCCAATGTCCATTCTTCCTTCTCATTTAAACTGATGTGCACTAACCTCCCTTCTCCGGTTTATTCCCACGACACCCTGGGTCCAAACCAACTATTTCTTTCGAGGATAAAATTCAGACATGTAAATAAAACAGAAATATGATAGAAGCATTCAGGCAACTCATTTCTTCAGGAAAAGTTGTATAAATCATCAATCAACATGGGAAATTAGTATGAGTCCATTCTCTGTTTTTTTTTTCTTTATGGTATTTCCTAGAAAACCATCAGTTTAATTTAGATTTTTAAATCAATTTGAATATAACTATTCTCTGGTTTTGAATTTGCAGTTCTTTTCATTTTTGCAAAAGCAAGATTTTGTTCTTATGGTTACAATGCCTTCAACAGGCATCTCCCAAGGAGCTGTCATGCCCCAAACCTGCTCCTGATGCTGGTATCACAAATACTCATCATCATCATCATCTCCCTTGAGGGAATGAATGAAAGCTTATTGACGCCAGTTAACAAAGAAGAAGAGCACAACATTGAACGGATAGATTAAGGCTGATAATTTTCTCTTAAAGAAAAAAAAAAAGATTCTAGGCAAATAGCAAAAATTCTGGCTGTCAAGGTCAAGCTTCTCAATCCCATTTACCCTCTATAAAAAAATAAAAATCTATCATATCAAAAGGGTAGCTTTTTTTCTGCGCACTGAAAGAACGTATTTGAGCATTCTCAAAGTAACTCTTCAATATTGTATCAAATTTATATGAAACAAACTCCTCCAGCTAAATGTAAGAAAGAAAGCATTGGATCCCATTTATGTTCCACATTCACGTGGTTTAATTTAATCATTTCAGATAAATTCGTTATTGACTCCTACGCTGCAATAGAGACTTGGGCGTTTTCCACCTGGACACACAATGCTACCAAATCGCCTACTAAAAATGTTGATGTTAATAGGTTTCACCCAGCTTTAACGTACTTGTAAAAGCTCCATTTATTATTTTCTGCCAAATTCTTTTGGAAACCCCACATTCACGTGCGGCTGTTGGCCATGTCCCATCCCTCACACAGACCCACGCTTCCTGGAGGCTTCCCAGTGCCCTGGTCACGCCCTGGCCGCCAGCCCCAAGCGTGCGCCTCAAGGAGCGTCCAGCAGTAAGGCGACACTGCAGGCCCCACGCGCAATGCCCCCTTGAATGCCTCCAACTGTTCCACCACCCGGTCCTAAGCTTAGAAAGGGCTGGTCACAGGCCGAGGGCAGGCAGCTGCCCTCTCGGCCTCTGGCTGCCTTGACAGAGCCCTCAAGGGTAGAGGAAGGAAAGTGCCGGCCACCGGGCACGGAGCCCACCACCACTTGCCGCGCATCCTCGACACACGAAGGGTCCAGTGAGACAGGGAGAAAGGCCACCTGGACACTGAACACCTCGCCAAGGACGCTTGGGGCGGGCTCCTCTGTGCTGCCAAGGCGGGCACCGAGACCGCGCTCTAGCGGAGCTTGCTTGGCTCGGCCCGGGCCGGGAGGGGCGCGCCGCTAGGTGGCCAACGATAGCGCCGAGAGTGCCAAGCCCTGGAGCGACACGCCCCGAGAGCCCGGGTTGGCACGGCCGGGAACCAGGGGAGGCAGGGGAGCAGCACCTGCAGGGTCGGCCCGGGCGTCCGCGTCCACGCGGGCCGGGAGGCTGGAACCATTCCCTTCCCGAAGTAGGAGAAGCTAGTCTCAGACGTGCTAGAAAACAGTGTCGGGCAGCAGCAGTAGGGCGGGCGGGAAGAGGGTACGGGTCCTCTGCCAGCGCCCTGCACCGCGCCCACCGCTTCCACTCACCTGGCAGTTGGCGCCGGAGACCCCGGCGGGGCAGGTGCAGCTGTAGCCGGGCTCGCCGGAGGGGGCCGGGTGCTGCTGGCCGGGCGCGGGGCGCGGGGTGCACACGCCCCCGTTCCGGCAGGGCTGCGCGGCGCACGGCCCGGGCGCGGGCAGGGGCGCGGCGGGCACCGGGCTGGCCAGGCAGCCGCTGCGGGGCCCGGAGTAGAGCAGCAGCAGCAGCAGCGGGGCCAGCGCGAGCAGCAGCTGCGCCCCGGACGCCTGAGCGCGGCGGGGCGGCATGGCCGGCGGGGAGGGCGCGGGAGCTGGAGCCGGGACGCGGCGGCAGCAGTGGCGGCGGTGGTGGCGGTAGCGGCGGCGGTGGTGGCGGCGGCGAGGGCTGCTTGGCACGGCCGGGAGCCTCCTGCAGCTGCGGGATCCGCGGTTCCCCGGGCAACGGTGGGCGGGGCCTGCGGGGGCGGGGCCTGAGGGGCGGGGCCAACGGAGGAGGGACACAGGCGGGCCAGGCCGAGAGGAAGCGCGGTGGGAGCCCTTTCCCTGCAGGGAGTTGGGTGGGAGTTGCAGAGAGGCGGCCCGGGGGCCCCAGCCCTGAAGGGTGGGGTCAGGGTGGCGGCTGTGTCCGAAGAAACCCGAGGGGCAGCGGTGGCGACGCTCGGGCAGGAAAGCGGCAGGAGAGGCGCGACGGGTGCGCCCCCGACAGGCTGGGCGAGGGCAGACGGGGGCGAGGGAGGTGGGGCGGCCGCGGCGGGCAGCTCCACCCGCGGCCTCCTGGCGCAGAATCTGCGAGACGGCAGCGGGGACCCTGCTTACTTCATCCCCGGCGCTGCCCGCCCCTCCCCCGACACTGCCCCGCACACGCTCTCCCGCGCCACCCCGACGGCGGCTCCCAGACGCACGCTGAGCAGCCGGGCCTGCTGGACAGTGACCTTGCGTCTGCGCGACCGGCCCCCGGGCCCTTGTCCTTGGTGCTGACCGAGCAGCCTCCCTGCTCGCTGGCGCTTGCTGAGCGCTCAGATGTCTGACTGTGGCGAGAGAATGGGAAGAGGCCTCGGGATCGGGGTTCCAACCCTGACGTCGAACCGAAGAGGAAACTGAGGCCCAGATAAGCTGGACTGGAACCCAGTGGGTCAACTGACTCCCAGCCCAGAACGCTGAACTCCTGAAAGAACAGTTCCGAAGTGCGAGTGCGCAGAGGCCCTGCCAGCGAAGGATTTACTACGGGGCTCCGCATAAAGGGAGCGTTCACCGTGACCTACTTCGGGGGGCTCTCGCGAACGCCCTGGTTAGGCTGGCCTGACCAAGGAGGTCAAGCCCGCTGAGTAAAACGCGGCCTGCCTTGTCTTCTCCACCTGACCTTTCACACCCTCTGCTTTGTACGCGCTCCCAGGTACTTGTTACCTTCTTTTGAAGGTGACCAAATGAAAAACCAAAATATGACTCCTGTGAATTGTCAGTTTGGGCAAATTTTTGAGGGAACACAAAAATAGTTTCGTAAAAGCTGGGCTTTTTGTACGAAGTAGAGACTCCACATGAACTCGTGCTCGTAGGTGCCAGGGGCTGCCGAGAGTCCTCCAGTGGAAACAGGAGATAAACTGCGTGGCCTCTCTCCTGTTGAGACACAGAAGCAAATGCCACACGTTTGTGCTTTAGGAGACGCCTAAAATTCATGTGGCCATTGCAGGAAATCACTGAACCCCAAACACATCTGCTTGCAGCAGGAAGAATTTCTACCTCCAAGTGGATCAGAACAGTTACTACATTTTCCCTCACACCTGCCGTCTTTTATCTAAGACCTCCTCTTTTTAAAAAATCCTAATTTTGTGCCACGCCAGCACCCTCTGCTGGCTGTAATCTCATCGTTCAGGTGGTTCTTCCACCTGTGCCCCTGGAATATGAATTCTTTCCTAAAACTAACTTCTCCCACCTTAAATCCTGGACTAATGGACAGTGCTGCCCTCACCCTTCCATCGAGACACATGCACAAATGAAGCAAAATGAAGGGTGAAAAAGGTGGTGAGATAATTAAAATCTCATTTCAGTTTATTTTTGCCTAAGCAACCCCTTTGTGTGTACATTTCCTATCACTTTGAAATATGGGAGAATTAATAATGGTTTTATTTTCTGGATGCTGATTACTGAATTTTTCAGATAATGTTCTTTGTAAAAAATATTCTGTCTTTAATTTATAAAAGGCATATTATGGCAGAGACAATACAAGACCTTTTCATTTTTCTCCAGGCTAAAATGGAAGACTAAATCTTCAAGGCACTCTTGCTTATTGGTGGAACAATATGATTAGTTCTGGACAATAGAACATGGACTTGTATGCCCTAGCCCCAAAACATCCACACACTAAGCACATGCAAGTGTTAACTATTATTACTATTATCTAATAATATTGGTTCTCTGTTTAACTGAAAGCTAAAAATTCAATTATCCAGGCCTTTGGTTCATATTATTCCAAATGTACAGAACATCGAATCTTCATCCTGACCCATCTCACTTCCTTTTTTGATAGAAACCCTGTATTGATAAGTCAAGGGCAAAATATACAAATAATGTGTCTTGATTTCAGCAAAAAATATGATAGAATTTCTCATGACCACTTTATGGAGAAAGTGGGAATATATATAAGGAAAGTTCCATTAAGTGGACTTGAAACTATTTAACAGTTGTAGTCTGAACATACTGGTCAGTGGGTCACTACCACTAGAGGAAATTTTTAGGGAAATGCCATAGAGTCTCAAAGTTTGGCAGCTAATGGAATTCATGCCAGAATCGAGATGTAAATTTATCTCAACCAGTAAAAATGCTAAGATAAAATCAACAAAATGGAATATGAGGTGAATGATAGTGTATTTGGCCTTACTGCTATTTGCCAATATTTCTACCACTCCTCCTTCCAGAAACTTCTTTGTAGGACTGTATTTTCCTGCCTCCTTTGACATTAGGTGTAGTCATATGATTTGCCTTGGCCAATGAAATGTATGGGGAAACAGTGTGTACCACTTCCAAGTGGAAACCTTTAACATCCAGTGCATGACTCCCTGTGTTCTCTTCCCCTCACCATGGATGACCAGCAAGATTCTAAGAGGTGGAATGGAGCCCTCTCCAGCCTGGGTCTCCGAGGGAGGACAATGCAGGGAAGCGATGTGAACCTGCAATGGGCATATGGTGTGAGTAAGAAATAACCCAAGTAGTTTTAAGCCACTGAGTCCCAGCAGTGTTAAATAACTCAAGGTCACATATTAGTAAGTGGCAGGGCAGGACCGATTGTTCCCAATGAGCCATGCACCACAACTAGCTATCTCCGGTGTGCTATTCTGCCAGACAGAAGGCTGATTCCATCAGGTTTCTGGATTTGAAGGACTAGAAAGATTTCAAAAACAAATTGGGGGACTCATTTCTTTTCATAGATCTACTTTAGATTTAACAACTCAACTGCATGATGGCCACAGAATATCATAAAAATCTTACAAACCAATGCAAATATAATTTTTTTTTTTTGTATTTTGTCACAAATGGAGAAAAAATGACTTCCGAGGCCAGCACAGCTTCATGGGCAGACATTTGGGAACCACTAGCCACAACAAGAGCAACACTCCTCTTGTGATGAGGTTTTCACACTCTGTGACCACCACAGCATCCTGGGATAATGCCAGCCTGGATACCCAGTGTGATAATTCACAGACTTAAAAACTTACATTTAGAAGAAACTGCAAAGGTTACCTAGTATGATCTCCCAGGATTTGAACTAAGATCAATATGGAACATTTACATGGGATGATAAGTCACCTTCAGCTTACCTGAAGTACCATAGATATTAATGTATGCATCTATCAATGATTTTAGCGCCCACCTTCTCCCCCAAAACATCTGGGTTTTCTGCAGCCTTTGGCAAGATGGTCTCTATAACTCTTTCACCTACAAGTTGCTTATAGACAGTGACATCATTCCTGCTGCCTCTTAACACATTTGGTTAACCTTGAAGGATACAAGGGAACACCCCTGCCCTCACAGAGTGTGGGCATGGATGCTGGATTGAAGCTAAAGTCAGCCTGAAAGGAAAAGTTAGCCACACACAAAGAGAACGGACACACTGGCCCATGACTTTTCTGTCATGGACAACAGAACCAAACAGCCTACTTTGGCCGGAAGAGTTCTGTCAGGACCCATGATGGCATTGGGCAAGCTACTCTGTCTCTTTGACCTTCAGATGTCATGCATCTGTGTATCATGTAAGGTAGAGATAGAACCCCTACTTTATAGAGCTCTTTGGGGAATTAAATGAGTGATAGGGATCATGCAGAGTATTTACAGTGTATCACACATAAATATGAGTATATTTTTTACATATTATCTCATTTAATCCTAACGCCAGCACCATGAGGGGGAAACTGCCACTTGTGCCCAATTAAAAGACAAAATGGAGGTGAAATGAGTTGAAGTAAAACGTCTAAAGTCACCCAGTTCGAAAGTGGTGTGGCCCAGTCTCAAACATAGGAGAAGTCTGGCTGAGGAGCTGTGCTCTGAATCTCTCCTCTATCTGCTCCGTGAATCTCCCGCAGTGCAGAGTCTGATACTTAGCAGATACTGCACACGAGCTATACACAGAGATAGAGATAGATACATACACATATATGTGATGTGTGTCATACGTGTGAGCCATATATGTGATGTATATATCATGTAGATGTATGTATGCATATATAGTATGATCGCACAGTGCCTGCTAGGTTTTGGTTTATTCGGGGGGAGGGTGCTTGAGGATTTTAGTTTGTCTGCTCACTTGCTTTCTTTGTAAGGTAACCACTACTCCTGACTGACAGAATTGTAGGATGTGAAAATGGGACACCACTCTCTAAAGGTCTTCACTGAGAGGAAGACGAGGCATTGAGGAAACTAAAAACTACCCCAGGCTGGGCAGCAGTAGAGCCTCCAAATTACCAGTTCATGCTCTTTCCACTTTCCCATAGTACATATCCTTCACTTCTAATATTTCCTACATAACAGTCAACCAACCCAAAGGTAGGGTAAAAATACAAATACTAAATGCATGGGAGTTTTAAATGTCTTTAAAGAATCATCAGGAGGAATTAATACTATTTACAGCCACAAGCACCAGAACGATTATCTTATTCCTTTAATTAGTAGTATCTTTATTATAGTTATTTAGGTGTTAGCATATATATTCAGGTTATTGTATTTTGAATTATTGTTGAACAATTCCTAAATGCTGTTTGAGATAGGTTCACATTTACTTTCTACCCCCTAGCCTTGCT